CTTAAGTCGACGACATAGAAGCCTGACCTTTGCTCCATATTGCATGAGTCTGATCACCTCGAACGGTCGGCACCGCGACAATCCCTGTTCAAGCCGCGCAGTAAACTGTAACACCAGTATCACCAAAAGGGATGCAAAGATTCACACTCGTACCAAAAATACGAATCCTAGAAGCCAGAGTAATGAGAACAATGGCAAGACTTGTAGCCCTCTGCCCCCCTGCAGGTTTAGGGTTTAGATGAGGCTTTACGGTTTCCTTAGTGTTCTATAGCAGAGCATAGTATGTTCTACTATAGTAGAGCACAATAGAAACCCTAAACGTTGAAGATAGCGTGGCGGCCTCCACAGCGAAGCCCTGGGCTTTCGCAGAGTCCGGCAGCTCCTCCGCGTCAGCGGCCGCCAGGACGGTAGCATCCTTGGAGACCCTCGCAACAAAGGCGAATAAAATACAGATGTCCTATACGGCGCTAGCGCAACAGAAACAGACAAGGAACCTTTGCCTGAAGTAGACTCCATGCATAGGCAAGGCGGACGTCAGATATGATATGATATGGTATGATATGATATGATACGGTATCATGTGATATGGTATACTTCAACAGGCTGCAATTCCACTGCTACTGTGCTGTACCACCACCATGGTCTCAGCTACAGTGGCTTCGCAGCCGGTACTGGTACCACGGGGTCTTTCATAATCAGTTAGAATAGGACTTCGGGATCCACCAAACTATGTCGATATAGGGACCATACGGGGATACTATTTCAAATCGTACAGACATCTATATTATGTATTGACGCCCAGAATCCGCTTGGAAGTGCTCACACAACTTCATGATCGTTTCGAAGATCCTGAGTGGTGAAGGCGGCCTACAAGAAAGACCTCCACGAGAGCAAGTAGGTGAGCTAGATCATGACAAGCTGTGATGCAGTAGCAGAAGATGATATCCTATGGAAACCAATGCTAGGCACCAGTAGAGCTGGCAGTATTGTCACGATATTCGTGAATACTAGTATTCGTCTCTATTCGAACTGCAAGCAGTCTGAGAAGGGAGCATGCAGTGTGGATTTTCGTTGCAAAGCGGCCAAGAGCAACTCCCTCGTAAAGTCTGCGATGGCCCGCTGCAGCGGTCGGGTTTAAGCCCTTGCAGCAGGCCCTGCAAACTGTCAGGACTGCCCGTCACAAGGATGTCTTGGTCCAAACCTTTCATCTTGGGCTACAGTCACGGATAGCATTGGGCATACGGTTCGGGATTCTGCCAGTCTGCCAGCTGGTAGACTGCATAATAATAAGCACACGACTCTGCGCAAGTTCGACAAACTTGGATTCCCTATAACAGTCCATAGCCTGGTCAGCTTCAGTCTCCGGTGTATCTCTGCTAGGATATATTCAACTGACATTGCTAGACTGCATTATAGCAAAACCAGAAGAAATTGTACTCGCAGTGTCCGCGTGCTCTGACAGTCCAAGTCGCCTTTGCTCTTCCACCTGCGATGGAAGGTTTCGTGGTTTGGGGTTCAAGGTCCCTGTTTCGCAAGAATCGTAGGCCCTGAGCCGCTTCAAGTGTGCCCGAAAGCAAATGGGACTGCTGCGAAGAGGTGGCAAATCGACGGAAAGCGTGATGAGACTTACATGGAGGTTTCGTAAACCAGGGCTGCAGCACCTCATTTAGGGCTCCTTACACAATGAACGTCCTGTTTAAGAAGCTTAGCCCCTACCCCCGGCGGGATTCACAAAATCCAGGATGTTTCAAATTCAAGAACCATACGTACCCTAGCGATTTGGGGATCAGGTTCTTATTTTGTGATCGGTGAAAATGGTTTCGTTGTGGCTTGGCTTGTTTTGAAAACACCGGAAATAACAACCTTATGGGGATAGGGTTCTCTTTTTGGTGGCAGGTGCCACCCCACCCCCATCCCCGGCTGCCGCTGCCCGGGGGCAAAAACGAATTAGTGTCTGACACTGTTTCGTTTTTGCCCCGAGGCAGCGACAGGCAGGGGCATGGGTGGGGTTGGGGCAGGTGTGGGCAAAGGCAAAACAAATTAGTGTCAGACACTAATTCGGTTTTGCCTCGGGGCAGCGGCAGGCAGGGGCGGGGTGTGGGTGAGGTTGGAGGCAGGGGGTGGGCAAAGGCAACAACGAATCAGCGGGCCTGGGGCATCGACAGGCAGGAGTGGGGTGGGGTTGGGGGCAGTGGGGGCAAAGGCAAAAACGAATTTGTGTCAGACACTAATTCGTCAGACACTAATTCGTTTTGCCCCGGGGCAGCAGCAGGCAGGGGTGTGGTTTGGGGCAGGCGAGAATAGATACCGCGGCGATTGTGGCTCAAGGTACATGCTATGTCTAGATAAGAACGCGGCTAAGAACTTTAGCCCACCCTGACTCCTCAGCCGGTACAATCAGAGGTAATGGAAAATCAGAACATTAGGCTAAGCTACTCTCGCGGGATGGGGTTCTTATACAGGGACTTCACTGTACTCAGGATCCTAGAAATTTGGACTCCACGTCCCTGCGTTCGGGTCTGCTGTTTTCTGAAATTCTCACGTGACGGGCACCTTCACACAGTACTGGTCCGCTTTTGAGAAGACCATCTGCTTCACAATGGCGCCGGCAATGTTCATCGTGCACGTTCGGCCTGTTCGCGGTGTCAGAAGATGAAGATACGAGTAAAGGCTCTATCCTCCACACCAGGAGCTGAAACTAGGAAAACACGACCAGCCGCAAAGAAACTTTCAATTGTGCTTCCTAGCCCCTCCTCTCTTCTTGAACCAGCCGTTGCCGGGCTGTTTCTTTCCAGCTCGCTGCTTCTTCTTCACCTGTTAGGGGGTCAGAGGAGCTCTCCCGCTGAAGGCATAAGGTCTGCGGGAAGACTACCGACACCATAACGCTGGGGCGGGAGAGTTTCACGACGTTTTTAGGTTCTCATGTCAGCTTGTCGCCTGGATCACAGCACAGACATGCTCTGACTTCCACCGATGTCACTTGCGGTCGCCCACGCGGGCAATCACCCAGACCCGAACCATCCATGAGACTCCTCGAGAGGGATGAATTGCTCAAGGACCGTCAAGCCACGCCTCCACCACACCTTGCTCCGAGTCATCGAGGTGCCAATCCGCAAGGGGCTCGTGGTCATGGAGGGAGAAGTCGGAAACCCCACGTTCTGGGCTATCGGCTTCGTGTCACGGCTGTCTGATGGGAAGGGTGTTGTGCCGGAGCTGTGTCAGTTCGGAGTTCAACACTCGATGATTACACAAGGCAGTAAGGACGCTCCTTAGGCCTGAAGCCTCCATGTCCGCAACGGCCCGGTGAGGACATGCTGTCTGTAGTTTGTACTTGCCCTGCCACGGTCGTTTGTGTTTCCCTGTTCCCTTCTTCAGTCTAACGGGATGGTTGGGGACTATTTCTTTGGGTGGCCTGCACCGACGCCTTTTAGTTGCTCTAGTTGCCTAGCAGCGGTAGCTGCAGTAGAAGTACTTATTGCAAACAGCAGCAGCAGCAGCAGCAGCAGCACTAGTAGTGGCCGCAATAGTTCGAGGAGGGGGAGGAAGGGGAGGAAGAGGGAGATGCAGGAGGCAAATGAGGAGGTGGCAAAGGGGAGATGGCAGTAGCAGTAGCAGTTGTAGCTGCCCTTACGTCAGCAATAGAGTCTATAGAGGTTGCAGCATCAACTTGTCAGTAAGAGTTCAACATCCTTCCGGTGTATCTTCGAGGGGGCCTTTCAGGGCCACTGTCACTGAAAATCCCAACAACGAACGCTACACAAAAACAGCCTGCAAGCCTGCAAGGGATAAGGCGCACGATGAGCAACAGGTTTAAATCTTGCCACTGCAACCGGGAGGACTTAGCATGTCGCGATGCTTCGCTCCACGAAGGACCAGCCGCAACTGCTCGGGATACGCGCCTTTGGCAGGGCATGTGCATCCATGCCGATCTTGCCATTTAAGAATTCTGAGACGGCTATGCTGCGGAACTGAGGCTCAGAGTACAATCCATGCACCGTGCACATGTTCGGGTCTCGAAGTCTCGAAAGGCCCGGAAGTACATGCGGAAGTCTTTCTGACGCGAGGGAAGAAGGGAGAGAGGGAGGTAGGGAGGGAGGGGGGAGGAGGAAACCGTGACACATGGATGTGAAAGCTGCTTAGGTCCATAAGACTAAGCTTTTCCTCGAAGCAGCCTGTCTTCTGGGCGATGGCAGCTCTGAGGTCACCAACCAACGTGAGTTCATCACCCTGGCAGCAGGCGTTGCAGGCGTCACAGTTTCGTGGTAGCGCACAGCAAAACAAGGACCGAGATTGTAGGAAAATCAAATTCCTGCTGCCAAGTTGCAGTTCTCTGTGCGGGTAATTGCACATGCGATGTGGGACCCTGATATACGAGATACGAGCCTTATTAGCTAGAACAATATTTAAACATGTTAAGGAGCCTTAAGGGAGCAACAAACCGGAACTAGTCTCCTTGAATGACCTGTCGACGACCAGTCTGAGTCAACACAGACCCCGATTCCCAAGTCTTGCAGAGTGGAAGGACGGCTGTAGAAACTCCCGACCTCGAAGTATCGCATGGAGACGTTCATATCCACATTGCCCTCACCATCCACCAATGATCCACACCTCGCAGAGGCTGCCGGTGACCCTCCAAACCTGCCTGGAAACTAGGACTTCCAGTCGAGTGCGCAACCCATACCAACCATCTATGGAACCGCAGCCTCTTCAAATTCACATCCTCATCCTTCTTACTGAATGGCTCCTGCTAGCACGAGCCAACTTTGTGGCCAAGCATCACACGCAGCTGCAGCTTGAAGGGCTGGTCGGTAAGGCCCTGTAGGTTTGGTGCCCAGCTTGTATGTCAGGAGATACATTGTACATAGAAGCTGCTGGGACGGCCCTCCTCCATGCATGCGTCTATCGGACCTATGATCGAGCAGGCACCTGATGGTGCTAGCAAAGTTCATACATTCCAGTCATCCTCGAGTGCAGGCCTTGAATGCCCGCGCTTTGGGCGCCAAAAAGTCGGCGAGAACCGGCTTGCTGCTCATAGTCGGCAGGTCAGCATTGAGGCCCTTCAGGAACGAAGGGAAAGACATCCGGTGGTTCATGTGATTACATATGTTGTCTATCGATCTATCTATCTACCAGTCTATCTAGCTATCTATCTGTCTGTATGCATACATATGTATGTATATATATATACACACATATAGATAGATAGATAGATAGATAGATAGATAGATAGATACATAGATAGATAGATAGATAGATAGATAGATAGATAGACAGACAGATATCTATATAGATAGATGGATGGATGGACAGATAGGTACATAGATAGATAGATAGATAGATAGATAGGCAGGCAGGCAGGTAGGTAGGTAGGTAGGTAGATAGATAACGATAGACAGAAAGATAGATAGACAGACAGATAGATGGATAGATAGAAACATGTATGCGCACATGCACATATGTGCAGATACAGATACTATGCAGAGGAACCGGTGTCATAATGGTGCAGAAACAGATAGATCAAGCATAAATCCTCCCCTTTGTCGACACATGCAGGACAGCTCCAAAAGCCTGAAACCCTAAACCCGAAACCCTAAACCCAGAACCCGAAACCCTAAACCCCAAACCGACCGGCCTTCCCGGATCCCTTGGCGCTTTTTCGGGTCTCCGCCTCCCGTCGCGCCAAGGCAGCAGCGGCCGAGGCCTCGCTTCCGGAGGGCAATATGTTTACTGGCAATTCGCATGCGAACTCTGACGTTCTGAGTCCTAGACCTTGTGACCTTAGTTGTTTATAAAATATGAAAATATGAATATAAATATAAATATAAATATAAATATAAATATATATATATGATATGATATGGTGATGGCCAGTGCCTTCGGGGATGCTGACTGGCGTGCGACTCCAAACTGAGTGGACCGGAACTGACCTGGACAACTGTGCCGAGACCAAACTGGAGGCCGGAATGGTTTGAATCGGGTTTGGGGCGCATTGACTCTGGGGCTGTACGGTTAAACCTTATACCCTCTCTTCAGATCCCCGCCCCGACCTCCTCGCGAGAGGCGAAGCGATGCTTGCTGGCAGGCCTCATGGGGCAGGAGTGCAAAAAAGACGGAGTTAGGGTTTAGGGTTAAGGAGTTTAGAGAGACAGCAGCGTCGAGGCTGAGTTCATGGTCTGATACCCCAGCAGCTCACGATCTATACCCGGCAAAGCTCCTGGTCAGCTTGCTAGGTCGGGTCTCAGGCTCATCTTGTCATCCCGGGCTCAAGACCCGAAGCGGAAGATGGAAGCAGTCATGTCAAGTATCAGAGTGGGCTGATAAAGAAAACATCCACAATCCGCTGAACGACCAGCCCTACAATGTATCGCAAGAATAGTTCACAGATGCTTGAATGCTTACGCCGTTCCATGTTCTGCAAGCAGCTGCTCTTCAGGATGTTGCGGGTGTCGAGCCAGATCCAGAAGCCTTGTGGCTAGGATGGTCTGGAGGTGTTTGGCGGAATAGAGAGGCCCCGAGCCCAAACCCTCAACTCTGAACCTTGCAGGGTAAGCCCTTGCCCCCCAACACGCATCCGATTCTTTTGGCTCGGCCAGGAGTTGAGGAATCCCCCGAGCTTCCGCACCAGCTAAGTCACTCTGATGTTGAAGACATGGCATAAAGCCATAAAGTGGTTTAGGGTTTCAGGGCATAGGGCTTCTGTCTTGGTGTTCGCAGTTAAAATGCCGTTCTGGTTTCTTTGCAAAACTCCAGCACAATCATGCTGATGCGTGCCATCGGCACGTTCACGAATCGAATGCTCGAGTTAGCTTTCACTACCAGAGTTGCTTTAGCGGTTGTTGATGTCAGTGTTCTGTCATTTCTGGCAATCATGGTGAAACACACATGACCAGGGTGAGCATCCGGACAGCCCCTCTCCAACAAGAAACAGAGCTTAATCTGGAAGCTTAGGTCCACAAACTTGAATTTTCTTGGTTGCCTGGAGAACCACAGGAGCCCGTTCCTAACCAATATTTACAATGCCAACCCTCCCTTGCCTTTGATTTTGCTGACCTGCTGCAACATGCGACCAAACACACAACCTTTAGGCGCGGTGCAGTTTCAAGCACTCGGCTTTTGGGCGGCCGCTGGCAAGTGCCTCGTCCACCTTGTCGCAGCAGAGGCCGGAGGGGGGCATTAAAGGACATCAAACTTGAGTCTCGCGGAGCTCTTAAACATTAAACTTAGAGAGTCAAAGGCCCTCAGAAGTCAGGAGGACCAGGGAGCACCAGAGAGCACCAGTGCCCTGCACCGTGAAAGAGGTTCTCAGCCTTCCTTGCTTGAAATGCTTCTGTTGAACCGGGGAAGCCGCTGCGACTAGGTTCATACGGTTTAGAGTTTGCGGTTCTAGGAGGGCTTCCGGCCCTACTGCTACACCAGTTGGAGCACTGGCATCTCAGCAAGTTCCGATCTCTCCCTACAACTTTCAATCCTTTGCAGCTGGTGGTTTTTCACATGGCATGATGTGATAACTGATTCATCTTTGAAGGTGCCAACCCACTTTGCAGGAAAATCCGCCGTCTCATTTCAGTGCAAGATGATCTGAGCTGTATCCGCATGCCTCTGCGCAAAGCTGCTGCCGACGTTTGACACCGCTCCGCCTAGAACGCGCACCGAATATGTCACAATCGGGATGCTGACAGCCACAATCTGCTTGGTATGCACGGGTACAGCATACATCTGCTTTGCATCTGGAGCCGTCACTTCTTCATGGATTTCGAATTTCGGTCACGTGTCGGCATGATTTGCCCGGCAGCCTCCTGTGGAGAATTAGGGATCTTCATGGATCTTGTATTTCGAAAAGTGCAGGCATGCAACAGCTTTGAGGCCCGAACCAGCTGTCTGTCAGCGGATGTGCTTTCATGGGGAACTCTGGCACCTGGAGAATCGCCTGCGCCAGAAATGTCTCGTTGCCCTCACTCGCATACCAGACAGAGAGCCACAAGGAAGGGAGCAACAGACATGACTTAGATACGACACGGCCCTCCTACCGACACATAGGGGCCCTCTTCCTCGGTTCCAGAGCCTTCACGTTGTGGCTGTTCTTGTTGGCCCACAGCCTCGGACCAGGAAAAACGCAGAATGAAGAAATGTCACCTTCTTGAAGGAAAGGGCTCCGGAAGGTTCCGCCAAGTCTGGACATCAAGTCAGGGAAGGAGATCATCAATGTCACCACCATGCACTACAGGTAACACCTAAATCCTAAGCCCTAAGCTGTGATCACATCAAGAAAACGCAGTCGCCCAAGTACCCTAAACGCCAAGGGCTTGACTCTTGTTCAAGGCTGAGCAGTGTGCTGTTGATGCAATCAATAACTCCGTAATAGGTTTGCTATAAGTTTGCGGCAGGGATCGAACAATCGATGGTGTTTCAGCTTTGCCGCCTTTGTTCCAGCTGAGCCATTGTTAACTTCGTCATAGAGGTTCGGTGGGAGGGAGCACGTCCCATAAGCCTTGCTTGCAGCTGTTGCGAGCCTGTCGTGTTTGCCCCACCCGCCCGCTCTGTCCCATGGGACATGTTCTGCATTACTAGCTGCTACGGCGGGATGTGTCCGCAAGTAAACAAATGTCCCGACCGTCTGTGTGTGCCATCGCAGTGACAACGTCTGCATGTTGTCATGTCCGTGCAAGAATGTGCAAGCCATAGCAGCTTGAGTTGTCATTCGTTCTTGGCTGCATGCAATAGATACTTGCCCTCCTGCGAAAGACCCCGAAATGCATCATGGCAGAAACGCACAAATCCGGGGTCCATGTTGCAGTAGATATAGCCACAGCTGCAGTCGCAGAAGCAGCCGGGAGCAGTACTTACCAAGGGCACGGACTCCTGAACAAGCACCTGACAAGCCTCTACATCCGCAACTCCCTCTCCCGCAAGAACAAAAAGGCTGGGTCTAGCACGCCCTGATACCGTCCTAATTACATAACTTTCCTCTCGCATACCCCAACCAAAAGCCTGACGAAGAAAGCCTAAACCTCCGAACACATACGCAAAAAGCCTGACAGAACCTTTAGCCCAGAAACCCCGCAAAAAAAAAAAAAAACTCAAGCAGAACAGTTTCTTTTCGTGTCCGGGCAGCAGGAGCTCCGCAAGGTCCTCCTCGCCGGGTGCCGCTGGCATCAGCTCGGCCAAGACCTCCTGTCGAGTACTTGAGGGGTTTCCGAAAATGGGGGACCCTAATATAGCACCATAAATAGTAGGATCCTTATTATAAGGACCCCAAAATAAGGTAAGTCGACTGGCATAGCCGCAGACCACCGCGCGCCTTCACGGACTTGCATCTGCAAATCCTGGTAACGTCCGCCAGCACCTGTCATGGAGAGTCGACATTCATGCGAGAACCGATAGTCGTCGTGTAGCTGCAAATTGGACGTCCCGGCACATTGGTGTATTAGATGTTCCTTCGACCGTCACGGTGCCTGAACTTATATGTGATGTGTATGTGTGTATATATATACAAGACAATGTATTCATGTACTTGTTCTTTATTTATGTATTTTTCTGTTCATTAGTATTTCTAAGAATGATAATAAGAACAATAATACTAATCATATATTGCCAGTGCGACTCGCCAAGTTTTCTGCCTCGCTTCGACGGTTTGCTGGAAGCTGGCCCCAACGGCGGTCGTACCTGAGCTGGTCTATTCCCACAGCCAGAAGACAACAGCGAACCGAAGGAGGTCTGCACTGCAAGAGTTGTCGCATGCTATGGCAACGGTCTCATGATGACCCCAGAAAGCTCACTCCACATGCCCAAGCGAGAGTTTGAGTAACCGCTGAAGTCCTCCCAGACCTTTGCATACCTATGCCACAGCCGAAGCACATGCTGCAGACCTCCGTGAAAGCTTGCTTGGCGGATGCTGGGCCATCTTGCCTCCGGCAGAAACGGCATCACAGCTTTGGGGAAGCTTGACTCTGCCATCAAGGATGTATACCAGCAAAATGGTCAGGCGCCAAGGCTTTTGCACATGATGCTCTACATCGGGTGGGCAGTTTCAGGTTTCAGGATGTCAGCAGTCGACGTAGTGATTCAGGGGGCCACTCAATGCTGAAACACAAAGCGAGTAACCTCTACCTCGCTGTCAGTCGAACCAAGCCAAGCCCGAGCAACACAAATCGCACAATTCTGCAGCGTGACATGATCCTTGCTCACACTTAGGGCCCCAATGCATGGACGCCAGCTAATCAGCTTAGACGTGGACGGCTTGGACACGATGGAGGTGAAGACAAGGAAGAAAGCGATAACCTCGGCTTTTGTGGCGACTGTCGGAGCTTGGGATTGGCTCTAATGTTTTGCAGAAATGTTGCACTTCCATTCTCTTGAACCTACATATCCCGGATTGTCCTAGCCCTAGATCCCGACATTGCTGGTGGTGTGGATTGCGGAATCCTTCCTTGAGCTACGCTCGGAAGATAAAGCTGATAAAATCTATGTCAGCTTTGGCTCATCGGCGCCAGGGGGCGCGTCCGTGCTCAGGCTCCAGGGTGTCAAAGCGTTCGACGAGCTCCTGTGTCACGGACCGGCTCTGTAAATTGTCCGAACTCCCAATCCGGCTTTTGCGCTAAATCCTAACCCCCCCGGATCCCTCAAATGGTGGAAATTGTGGCTCCCGTTTGCGCTGGATTGAAAGGATGCCCATGGCACATCATCCGCATGCTGAACACTATCCAACTCCGTGTTGCTCGACTATGATCCACCTGACCTCTGGATGCTCTGAGCACCAGTGACAAAAATGATGAAAATAATCAATATGGCAACAACGAAAGCACTCATGGTACAGAGTTACTTATGACCGCAGTCTTGCTGCAGCGGAAGAGGGGTAGGAGTAGGAGTAGCAGTGGCGGCAGCAGCAGCAGCAGTAGCAGTTGCAGTAGTAGTTGTCGTAGTAGTACTACTAGTAGTCGTCGTAGTAGTAGTAGTAGTAGGAGGAGGAGGAGGAGGCACAGGAGCAGTAGCAGTGCCAGCCTAAGTAGCCGCAGTAGCAGTAGCAGTAGCAGTAGCAGTAGCAGTAGCAGTGGCAGCGGCAGGAGCAGTAGCAGTAGCAGTATCAGTAGTGGCAGAAGCGGCAGTAGAGGCAGCACTGCCAATAGTGCAGTAATGGCAGTAGAGGCTGTGGTGCTGGCGGTAGTGGTCGTCGTAAGCGGCGTTGTCGTCGTGGTGGCAGCAGCAGCTGCAGCAATAGCAGAGCAGCAGCAGCAGCAGCAGCAGTAGCAGCAGCAGCAACAGTGGCAGAGGTACTGGCAGGAGCTGGAACAGGAGCAGTAGCAGGAGCAGCAGCAGCAGCAGCATCAGCTTAAGGCTAAGGCGGCAATTCGTGTAGCTCTTACCACAACCAGCATGACCACCTGAAATAACCACCCTGCTTGTCAGTATCAATGAAATCGTCCGCTGTTCAACATTCTGCTGCGAACCTACAACAACACTGCACACTACCCTGCTGGGACGCACGATATCCTGCAGGGAGTCGCA